GACCCTCAGATTGCGAGTCGAGTGCCTTAACCACCTGGCCATGCCGGGCCATTCTTTAGAGAACAACAACCAAACATAGCACTGGCATATCTTGTCAGGTGGAGATAAGTTCAACTGATAAAACGATTGCTTAAGTCGTCACTTAACGGATTCCTGGATAATAATGATAATAAAATAAACTATTTTATTTCCTCTAAAAATTGTATCATATATATATATATTATAATAAAAACACGAAAATGTAACTTGGGACCAATAATTTTTAAAAACATTTTGTTGTGATATAAAAAAATTCTGTCTTTAATGACAAAACTTGTAACGATATTCATTCTCGTCAGTTACAATAAAATCCTGACATCTTTTAGCGGGTAGGTAAATTAAGAAATACTGGAAAAGTCTCGGAAATAATAAATTAAACGAACGTCCTGTCGTGGCAAATATACCCCATCTGTTTTACTGTGAAGGATTTAGACAAGGTCTACAAGAACGTCCTTGTTGTAGGAAGGATCCTGTCTTGATGGAAAGGGTTTAGATGAGGACTACAAGAACGTCTCTGTTGTAGGGAGGATCTGTCTTGCTGGAAAGGGTTTAGACAAGGACTACAAGAACGTCCCTGTTGTAGGAAGGATCCTGTCTTGATGGAAAGGGTTTAGATGAGGACTATAAGAACGTCCCTGTTGTAGGAAGGATCCTGTCTTGATGGAAAGGGTTTAGATGAGGACTACAAGATCGTTTTTGTTGTAGGAAGGATCCTGTCTTGATGGAAATGGTTTAGATGAGGACTACAAGAACGTCCCTGTTGTAGGAAGGATCCTGTCTTGATGGAAATGGTTTAGATGAAGACAACAAGAACGTCCTTGTTATAGGAAGGATCCTGTCTTGATGGAAAGGGTTTAGACAAGGACTACAAGAACGTCCCTGTTGTAGGAAGGATCCTGTCTTGATGGAAATGGTTTAGATGAGGACTATAAGAACGTCCCTGTTGTAGGAAGGATCCTGTCTTGATGGAAATGGTTTAGATGA